GCGCGGATCTAGATCGGCACCGTTACCGACCGTGCCACTAACGTAGCCTAGCGGGGCCGGTGGCGGACGGGACGGCGCGAGAGCGCGGGGGTGGCGGCCCCGCCTTGTCCCGCCTGCTGGCCCCGCCCCTCGCCTTGCCCTGCCGCGGCCCGCCCGATCGTTTCAAGGCCGCCTCTCGTGCGCGGCCCCGACGAATCTCCTCTGCGGCTGCTGGTGGTTGCAGCTGCAGGCCTACTATCGCTACTTCCTCAGTATTCCTGAGATGATTTGTTTTAATTAATGAATTCGTTAGAGACACTTCCACAGGTTGAACTTTTGTGGCATCTTGATTAACTTTCTTCGTTTGTGGAATAACATCACGATTGATTCATTCATTGTTAGTGATTCCCGACACGTCAACTACTAGGTTCATTAGTCCCGCAAGTGTAGTGTATGTTTTGCTCGGGATGTGGCGGTGGTCTTCCCATGCTGTATGACGAGATCCGGTGACCAACTGCCGTGCCTAGCGGGAAATTTTCCCTACCAGGTATCTCCCATCAGCGACACAAGCTCTAAGCACCCGACCGATCTCCCGGCTTATGTGGTAGTGAAGATCATGTTAGTGTTAGTGCGTGTAAGAGGTGAGAGTAGGACAAGGAAGAGGTAGGGAAGATCCCGCGGTCCGTTTGTTGGGGTACTTCTCCGGCATTCGCCTGGTGTTGATCGGGGAAACCGCCAAGACCTGAACCTCAGGACCTGCGACCAGGCATTTCAGTGACACCAGTTGTTACCCTGAGCCACCTTTTCTTTTTTGGTTCTTTTTTTGTGAGAACACGTTCGCATTTACGCCATTTTCTCCCTTTTATATGCACATGCAAACTTTCAATCCTTACGTGAATGGGCTTTTTGTAATGCAGACCGAAAAATATTTCACTTCTTGAAAACGAACTTTGATGTTGTCCAAGGACGAACATCCCCAGGGGCGAGGGCGCCAGGGGCAAGATCTCATCCGGCCCCGTTGGCGGCCACCGGGCGACGAACGAAGGAGTCGCCTGTTGCCGCAGCCGCCGCCTCTGCGGTCGTTGAACCTGGAAATGGAGCGCGGGGGAGGAGCGCCGCGGCGTCGGCCGCCGCCTTCGGACCCCGCCCTGGCCTCCGCGCCCCGCCCCGCCCCGCCCCGCCCTGCCTTCGCGGGGCGATGACGTTCACGCGCGGCCGTGTAGCGTCTGGCCAGTGTTTGCAGGACCGAATTGAGAGCCCGGGCTACCTGCTGCGTTAGCGCCAGCCTGCAATTGAAAGTTAGTAGCTGCGGATGTTCAGGGTTCGTATTCCGACAGAAGAGTTTTTTCAACACTTGATTGATTGACATGAGTTTGATTGACGGGCGTGTCAGCTGCTATGATTATTGGCACCGTGTGTGTACGTGCGTGTTATATCCCAGGTGGTAGCGGTGCTCCTCCCCCACGGGAACATGAGACTCGTAGCGGATCTGCACGTTAGCTAGCATTTCCCCTCCAGGTATCTGATCCTCTTCAGCTGGGACAAGATTTAATTGCCTGACTGATATGTAGAAATACCTTGTTGTACTGCTTGCGTTGTGGGCATGTAGTATGTATGGGTGCGAAAGGGGAATGGTAGGGTCAAGAATGAGGAAGAAAACTGCCGCGGGATCCATGACCACGTCCATGATCCGTGGTAATTATTGGAGTACCCACGAAAAACTACCGATCAGAGGTCTGTGGAATGTACTCTCAAAATGTCAGTAGTCTGGAAAGTACTCTCAATATTTAAAGAAAGTTTTACCGATCGCAGAGCTTCGAGTGGGATCAGATCGACCAAAAATGCAAGAATAGTAACAAACAAGTCTAAAAATATCGATTATATAGAAATAGGAACAAGTCATCACGTTAATAATTGAAATGTTCTCTGAATAAATTCTCTGATAACATTTTGTCAAAGGTTTGTTAACCGTCGTATTAAGGGAAATGTGCACTTGGTGTCTACGTGCGTTTACTGTTTGGCAGTGATGAGATCAAATGGGTTGTCAGGTCAAGGAGTTTCAATAAACAATGTGTTTGTGATCATGGTCGCAACCCATCGTGAAATTATAAAAAATCCATGCTTAAATATCCAAGGGTGAACGATGACCAGTGCCAGGATTGATGTGAACAAGTTGACACAGTAACGCACATTGCACCAGGTTGTACACGTCTAGTTAGGTCAGAGTAACTGATCAGGCATGATGCAGTAGCGAAAATTATCCACCAAAAATTTGTTCAGAAATACTCGTTAATATTTGTTGTGAGATTGAAGTACTAAAATCACATTGTATTCCAGACAATGTTCCAGAAAGTAGTTTTTCTTGTAATGTACGTATATTCGAAAAAATACGTATTATAGAGATAGTTATGCTGAAGAAAATCGATTTTGAGATTCATACCTTGACGTCTCCTGACATCGCAAACCGTCCATCAGTCTATCCGTCCATCTGTGAACCAACATAACTAGACGATAAACAACCAGCAGAAATTTTGCGAAAATGAATATTCCCCGGTTAATCTAAACTGCCATCAAGTCTTGCGATTTTGAAGAAAAAAATCAATTTTGGAGGATAGTTTACATAAAATACTTAGGTCATTTTTTAAATTTCCCAAAAATGGTTGCAAATTTTTCACTTTTTTTAATTTCTGTGTCAGAATAGAGTGGAATACACTTTTAAAGTTAGAATGGGTTCACGGTTTCTCCAGAATTTTCGAAAATTGTCAATGTTTAACATTTTTTCAACGTTTTCGTAACACTACAATATTGAAGTCTGAGATTTTTCTTCAAATGAAATTTTTCATGATAAGTTCTTTAATAAATTTCAGGAATTTTTGTTGAAAATATTAGTGTTTTTGGCGCTTTTTTGTGAAATATTTTCAATTCAATTCCATTGTTAGTGAAATATATTAAATATATAGTAAGCAACTAAAATAAATGGACATAACTGTTGTAGACATTTTCAATGAACTATATTTAACCTCAACGTAATAATGTTTTTTATTTTTTAACTGTAACCGAGCAAGAAAAAATAACTTAAATAAATCCACAACAATTTGTGTCTTAATAGAAACCTTTGAGATTTTTTCGAGCCTGTTCCAGGATTTTAAGACACAGTAAACATAATTTTTGTTTTCAAAAAAAACATTTTGTGTTTGCATTTGGCGATGAGAAAATATCAAAGATGTTTTTCTGATAGAGCGAATTTTTTTCTTATTTTTCATATTTTTAAACCAGATAAAACACTTTTTGACTGTAAATGGGTGTGTGTTGTGATACAGTAGCTCAGAAACCCTTCAAAAATATTATTTTTATGTTAGAGTTGTAGAGTGACTACTGATAAGACATTTGGTTTAGAGGAAGTTCTTACCATGTTATCCGGGGGAACTATTTGATGTATTCTCTTATTTTGTTTTAAAAAAATACACAAATCTAATATTTTTACACATTTCACGTCGTTAATATTTACGTTACAGTCATTTTTAATAAATTATTGATTTTGTATGCACATCGGCTTCAAATGGTTTCTTATGAATTTTCTCGACTTTATGCAGTATTTTCAAACAAAATTAGCTTGTAAATTACTTTTCTGTGATAAGTGTTATGGTGCATGCTATCATGTAAGTGGTTAGGCGGAAGAGCCTTACCACTTTCTTTACTACTGTGTTCTCAGAAACATCGATTGCCGTAGAAACTGTGTTTTGCAATTTTGGATTTCATTGCAACCTGCAAATCACCGCACCTTTACGCGTATTTCTAAGATCCGAGGCACTGTTATAGACTTGTCATACGCGTTCGTCAAACAGCGAGTGCACTGTGTTCTGATGGCCGGCTGTCGGGCTAAAGCTCTGTCGGTCTAAGTTGCAGTGCGCTCGCGGAGTGACGGGCAATTCAGTACTCTCGTAAACCCATCGATTCACGAATTTGCGTTTTTCTTCGTTTGTATGGGAAAATAGAAGGCTTTTTTTTTGAGAACCCTTTGAACTAATTTCAGTGCTTCGCTTTCCAAAACGCACAACTTTCTGAACGTTATCGCTGCATCCCAGTTGGTTTGATTCAAAACGAGGAGACAAACTATATAAGAATAGTGGTTCGTTCAGCTCTGAGACTGAGAGTGGGACAAATTGGGAAAGGAATGATCGGGGCGGGCTATGGCTCGTTATTGCAGTTTTTCTGCGTAATCCGCATGGAACACATTGGAGGAAATTACACAAACAACAGATAACAATCGGAGTCAGAAAACGACTCTATGCGGTTGATTATAGATTTATTGACTTAGGGATTTAACTGATGACGAATATCTGTCCGTTTACGGGTTTCAATCTTAGGACCTCTCTGTCTACAATAATTTAGCAACGAACTCGCAACTAGAGTCGTTTATCAATCGGTTCTTAACTTACATGATGTGATCAAAAGTATCCGGACACCTCCAAAATGATGTTATGATGTGGTTGTGTTTTTTGTGGAGGGGGTTTGCTCTCCTTGTTGTTTTGCGTGGCACTATCACGGCACAGACCTACGTTGATGTTTTAAACATCTTCTTGCTTCCCACTGTTGAAGAGCAGTTCGGGGATGGCGATCGCATCTTTCAACACGATCATGCACCTGTTAATACTACACGGCCTGTGGCAGATTGGCTTTACGACAGTAACATCCCAGTAATGGACTGGCCTGCACAGAGTCTTTACTTGAATCCTATCGCACACCTTTGGGATGTTTTGGAACGCCGATTTCGTGTCAGGCCTCACCGACCTACATCCATACCTCTCCTCAGTACAGCACTCCGTGAAGAATGGGGTGCCATTCCCCAAGAAACCTTCCAACGCCTGATTGAAAGTATGCCAGCGAAAAGGGAAGCTGTCATCAAGGTGGACCAACACTCTATTGAATTCCAGGTTTAATTATGGAGGGCACCATGAACTATTAAGTCGTATTCAGCAAAGTTATCCTCTTGCAAAGGAATAAAAAATACCATCCCCATAGTTTTCATTAAATTTTATTACAGTAATAGTAATCATTTCGTAACAATTACACTAGTTTCTATATTGTCATTTTGGCCCAATTTATTTGCATATATAAATTGGCAGACAAGCCAGAGAGGGCTACCACTTTCATCCATTGCAATCAACAAGATGTATTTACATATTATCAGTGTAAAATAAAAACATCACGAATATTTTAGCGCAAGACGCGCAAATAGCGCAAGACGTGTTATTGGTTGCGTTGACACTAAATACGCCCAGGGTAGAATAAACTCTGCGCCTCCTGCATCCAGTTTTCGTTGGTTGCCATGCGTTTAGACCTCCGCACGATTCTGTTGCCTTCACCGCACAGCAGCTCCTTCACTCTGCTTGAGCAGTCCGAATCGTTGGACTCGGAGCTACTGTGACTCGAGCACTTCACTACGCGTAAATATTCTCTTACTGCCGTCCGAACACGAGGGTCTGAGGAATCTGAAAAATAAAAAACATATTGCAGGCTGCACTAAAATATAATTAACCAATCCTCCGAAATTACGAGTATTACGATCAGATAACTTATACTATTTCCAACAAATTTAATTGCTTTCTCTACCTAATATATATCTTGGTATATTGCTATAAACATGAGTAATATTTAAGCAATGAACAGGTATGAAAGAAAAAGAAATATTAATGTCACAAGTAGTACAATGAATGTTCAACTGAACTTTGCTAAAAAAAATAACATTAACATACTAATTTGCCCACACTTGGATATGAACGGGAACGAACACATTTGCCCACACTCAGATTTGAATTCGGGCACTAATGTTTGTTAAAACTTACACCAACTGGCTGAGTCCACTTTGCAAACATTCAGATGCTTTAAAAAATGTTAAACATTAGACATTTTCGAAAATTAAGATATTTCAATGAAAATCGGACGAGTTCCCGTAAAAATCGTTTCGAAAAAGTTTGCAAAATTGCAAAAAAAAATCTTGTTTAACTATTTTTTAAATTAACATAATTTCACTCATTTACGAGAAAATACTCAAATTTCAAAACATTTTATTTTAGTGGGGGAGGGGGGGGAGCCGAATATATTTTCGCTTTCTTCAATATACGAAAATTCAATGATTTCAAAATAGGAATTGTGTCTTTTTAAATGTGTATTTGCTCATCGGAAGTACAAAAATAATGGGAGGAATTGGAAGCAATATTGAGAAGAATTTAAAAAAGTCATAGGGACTTCATGTAAAGAGTTTTCCTATATTCAAGTATCCGTTTCAAATGAGAGTAACTATGAGATCAGTCAAATCGATTCGGTAATATCGACTTTGATAAAATTCTTATGCACTGTTTAGGAACTAATGTTCGTAAATAGACGGGTTGGGCGAAATCACTCTCTCAGCATCAAGAACCCACAACATACAAATTTTTAAATATACTACGTTTTCGAAAAAATAATTTACGGTTGCATATAAAATTAGAATAATATTCAAAATATGGGTTCGCTGTAGGAGCCTTAAAAATCCATTTTCTTGAATTCAAAAACCTGCAATTATGTCTACAATCTATCCAAAAATATTTTCATTTTCCTTCAGCATAACGTATCCTTCTCGATTTGCGAAGTAAATGCAAGAAAGTAACACTATTTTATTAGGTATATTTTACTTACCACCCGACGAACAGCTACAACTAGAGCTACTACTTTCTGACGTTCCATCTGATGATTCGTCATCACTGTCACTGCAACTCGGATCGCCGTCGCTGCTGCTGCCGCTGCCACTCGATTCATCGCCGCTGCTACTGCAGCTTCCGGATTCGGTGTCATCACTGTCACTGCAACTCGGTTCGCCGTCGCTGCTGCTGCCGTTGCCACTCGATTCATCGCCGCTGCTACTGCAGCTTTCGGACCCGGAGACAGATCCAGAGTCCGAGTCCGAGTTCGACTCGTCGCTTGAGCAGCCGGAGGAGCCGCCAGAGGAACCACCGGAGGAGCCGCCGGAGGAGCCGCCGGAGGAGCCGCCGGAGGAGCCGCCGGAGGAGCCGCCGGAGGA